GTCGGTGAACGGGGTCTTTGAGTTTCATTTGGAAGGTAAAGAGCCTGGAGTGTGGTTTGTAGACCTCAAAAATAATTCAGGTAAGGGTAGATTGGATGCTACAGTTTTGAGTTCTGCGTTATTCGAGTTACAGCGGTCAAAGAATAGTATCAAGGTACTAATTAAGATTTAAAAGACAGATAAAAGGTCCAGTCGAATCGGCTAATCTGAGATTGCGTAACTCGATCCAAAGCGCTTTTTTACGGCTAGACTTTAAGCAGTCTCGTTTTTAGTCTGCGTAGCAAGCGTTTCCGTGCGGTTTCGGAGCAAAGAACGAGGAACTAGAGACAAAGACCGCGTGAAAAATGGCGCGACTCTTTCATATTTTCGCTCTCGTTCCATTTTTCGCGCGGCCAAAACCGAAAATCTCGTTCTACGGTCTTTCTTTGCTCCGATCCAAAACCAGGACACACTCAGCTGATACACAGTCTATCCGGTTTTAGTTAGAAGGACTTGACACAGCGAGCCGAGAAAGGATGCTGGAGATAGGGATTTTGCGGGTTTCATATGCAGGGGTTTCTAAATTGGGTATACGGTATCTACAAGCCCTATCTTGCTTCTGGCTCTGATCATTAGAGAGATTTAGAAGAACGTTCACGCCGCTGATGGGATATGTAAATGTAACCACGTGACCTAACTCGTTCCTTGTTTTTTCCATTTGCAGTAATTTCATGCCACTTTCATTGATTTGCAGAGTTTGTATCTCCGCGTCTTCTTATTTCCTAAGATTGAATCTGAATCTCAAAAATAATTGTGCTGTTTGCTGCGAACGTGATTCCAAATCTCTCCATTAGCTTGAATTTTCCAGATGTCGGTTATGATTGCTCTTCTTCATCTCGTTATGATCCCGACAATTTCTTCTTGTTTTGCGTTTTTCAGGAAACGTTGGGAGCGGTTCCTTTCCTGGGGGAGATGCCAACTGCACCATGAATTTAGACTCGGAAGATTTTGTGAAAATGTTCAAAGGAGAACTCAACCCAACGCAAGCATTCATGGGAGGAAAATTAAAAATCAAAGGAGATATGATGCTAGCTATGAAACTTGAAAAGCTCATGGGGAAGATGAAATCCAAGCTTTAATTTTTCATAGATGGCATACATTATCCTTGTTGTTACTGTAACGCAAGACTTAGTTTTACTTAGAAAACATACATTCAACGCAGTCACAAAGTGGTGAGCCTGCATGACAGCCGTTTTGCGGGGAAACGAAAAGGCAAATTCGGATAAAATTCGCGCGAGGGAGGGCGAAAGAAGGGAGACCTTCCCTCCTTCCACGCGCGCCTATCTTAATTCCAGCTTTCCCTTTAAACGCCTGCCAGGCTTATAGTGGTTACCTTAAAAAGAATTAATAGACTACGGCGCAGTAAATACTGTATTAAAGAGACATTGAAAGGCTCTCAACTACTTTTGGAGAGATATTAAATATTTTATTCCGGTTCTGACTTCTGTTCACGGTGTTTCGGATTCGTCTGTGGTGCGTTAATTTCCTAGAAGGAAAATATGCCCTTGAGTATCGTCACATGATAAGGACAAATATTTGGGCTTGTCGATCTTTGTCGATCCATCCTCGTCCTGTGATCGTTTCCAGGCCACGCGCCTCTCACAGTGGCGCGTGGGGTGGCAACACGTGATGCTCCAGGCTGAGAGGCTGAGAAGGAGGCCACATAGAAAAGAGTAAATTTTACAGCTCTGCAGGTTCAAACCACACGGGACATTTATTATAAATTAATCTAAATTGGAATTAATTTATGAACAGAACTTACAAGAAGAAATCAGCTAACATTTTTCTTGCTCGACCGTTACACAAACAGTTATGCTTTTTGAGGCCGGAGTTAAAGCAAGTAAGTTCCAACATTTGAAGCCCCAGCTTATGTACAAATGCGTTGCTGAAATGCTGAAGAACTTAGTAGAAAATAGCCTGTCTCGATGGCAAAATTCTCCAAAGTAGTTATAAATTAGGCGATTTATAAACTGTNAAAAGAATTAATTGACTACGCCGCAGTAAATACTGTATTAGAGAGACATTGAAAGGCTCCCAACTACTTTTGGAGAGATATTAAATATTTTATTGTGGTTCTGACTTCCTCGTGTTTCAGGTTCGTCTGTGGTGCGTTAATTTCCTAGAAGGAAAATATGCCCTTGAGTATCGTCACATGATATGGAAATATTTAAGAACTGTTTTTAACATTTGTGGGCTTGTCGATCCATCCTCGTCCTGTGCTCTTTTCCAGGCCACGCGCCTCTCACGGTGGCGCGCGGGGTGGCAACACGTGATCCTCGATGCTGAGAGGCTGAGAAGGAGGCCGCATAGAAAAGAGTAAATTTTACAGCTCTGCAGATTCAAACCACACAGGACATTTATTATAAATCAATCTAAATTGGAATTACTTTATGAACAAAACTTACAAGAAGAAATCAGCTAACATTTTTCTTTGCTCGACCGTTACACAAACAGTTATGCTTTTTGAGGCCGGAGTTAAAGCAAGTAAGTTCCAACATTTGAAGCCCCAGCTTATGTACAAATGCGTTGCTGAAATGCTGAAGAACTTAGTAGAAAATAGCCTGTCTCGATGGCAAAATTCTCTAAAGTAGTTATAAATTAGGCGATTTATAAACTGTTATAAGACAGTCTGTTTGGATACTGATACCAGAGCTATTGTCTCAAAAACAGGTCCGCAAAATATTACAATTATTGTTCAGTGCATGCGTCGTCTTTTAAATAGCATTTCGTCAAACCGACTTTGTCATTTATCGTTAAGGTCAAAGTTTATCATATGTTGCACCGCGCAGCAGTAAATAAGACGTTGTGACAGTCCAGCACGCAACTTTGTCAACAGTTAATATCAAGCAAGGCTTTGAGATGAGCAACTATGAGCAGGTGGGTGGAGAGTCAGGTCCGTTATAGTCAAGAGTTAAGATGCCAGGTCCAAATATCATAGTTATCGCACGGTGCAGGGGTGAATAAATCTCTTATAGACCTCGAGGGTGTCTTGTACACTCATCAGCAGCCACAATGAGCCCAGCAAAAGCACAAGCCATGACAATGAGTCCCACGATCACGGATACAAAGGATGCCATAGTAATATTTTAAATTTAAACAGCTGGCAGAGACAGGACGATAATAACGCGGGAAAGGTTGCGATGTGTCAGTTATCGTTCAAATTGTGAAGTACCAGATTAACGGAGTTACGAGCTAATTTTTAGGATTCATCCGAAGCGTGAGCTCATAGACAAATTATGTTAGTTTGCGATCAATTAGGGTCAACACCTGCAACCCACTATAGTCAGCGGGTACCCGCCCCCTCCGACTGTTGAGGTTTTTTTTTTTCCTTTTTCAAGTCTTCACTTAAGAGAAATTGTAAACAGTTGGTCTCACAGCAGTCGCTTTTAGCACGTGCAGCTTTACATTTAGTTACATCAAAAAACGGTTTGAAGATTCGCTTTAAAGCTTCGGGCCAAAATTTCTTCGGAAAGAGCAAATGTTGAAAACAAGAATATAACGTAGCGTGCGGGGGATTGACGCTGTTGGGTATTACATGGTTTACACTTCTTAACGATATTTTCGAAAAAGAAAATTCCTGGCAAAAATTACCTCAAAAGCCTGGCCCCTTGTGGTTTCCATGCGCGCACTAGTGGCAAATGCTCAGCAAACAGTTCCAACCAAACTTTGTACGGAACATCGATAACAGAGAAATGTTAAGGATGATGAAAGTTAAAATAAGTTTTAACCCACTGTTCTTTCAGCTAAGTTGGAATGTTATTTGGCATTTTTCTCATTACGACGGGGCAAGACGGGCCGGGGGTGCTCTCCTCGAAACCAGACCCTATTCAGCTGTAAATTGGTAGCCCTGTTTTCCTCTGCGCGAAAGCAACGCCCTGGACTAGTAACCCAGGTATTCCAGGGTTTATTTCTAATTACTACTTTTAAAATTCTTCATTCCCCGCCCCCCTCCTATCCCTGCAAATGACGCTCCACTCTTCTATCTCCTAAAAATCCTTGTTTACTCAATTTATCGCAGCGGCACTCGCCCATATCCACGTATATCTGTAAGCATACCCCTCTCCCCAATTCCTGGGTTAAAAAATAAAACGATCTTCTCAACGTGTCCATCTTTATGAGTAACCTTTCCTATGTAGTTTTGCTATGGTTCTCTAAGACGTTAAATCATTGTATTAGTTTAGAAACTTTTTGTATCTGATACTTTTAAGGAAAAAAGTTACCACATTGTTAACATAATTAGCTGGTAATTATGGCCCATTAGCGCAGGTTGTGAGGTTTCGGATCATCGATTTTGGCCGGCCCCGTGTTTAATTATTCATCTGTTGCTCGCACTAGCTTAATTGCTCAATGATTCAGCTAAAAAATGTCACGACAAGGAACCAAGAATGAGTTCAGTTGTACTTGTGGAAGCAGCCGAACTAAAAACCAAACACCGAAACAACCGTTCCCTTTTATCATGTCCTCTTCTTTCCAAACCTCGAGTTTTAAGGTTTATATTGTGAAAACAAGTTACATGTAGCAACGCCCTAGCTTTTTTCTTCGATCATTTGTTCACCTCCATGGTTNCCATTAGCGCAGGTTGTGAGGTTTCGGATCATCGATTTTGGCCGGCCCCGTGTTTAATTATTCATCTGTTGCTCGCACTAGCTTAATTGCTCAATGATTCAGCTAAAAAATGTCACGACAAGGAACCAAGAATGAGTTCAGTTGTACTTGTGGAAGCAGCCGAACTAAAAACCAAACACCGAAACAACCGTTCCCTTTTATCATGTCCTCTTCTTTCCAAACCTCGAGTTTTAAGGTTTATATTGTGAAAACAAGTTACATGTAGCAACGCCCTAGCTTTTTTCTTCGATCATTTGTTCACCTCCATGGTTCTCATTGATCTTGAAGAATTGCCAAAACAGCTATTTCTTTACATCAAAGTATATTTTAAAGATGACAAAATACCGAAAGTCCGACTCCCTTTTAAAATGACAAAATACTAAGAGTTCCAAAACAAAATGTAAATTATTCACGTTTTTTTGCTGACCTTAGGCCATTTAAACCCCAGGCTTTGGTTGTTCTCATGTATTTTTCCGAGTGTGTGATATGTAATAAAGTTAAGTTACAGTTTTCATTGCAAAATTCAGTTCATCCAAAAAGCCAATTTCAAATCCATTCACATGAACTACATTTCAAAACAATACTTGGAGAATTAACAATCATATCATATTTGTTTCGCTTATCTGGGAGGTACCTCTCACCGTAACTCCTTATAATAACAGCTTTGTAAAACGTACGCTAATGAACTTTTTTCTCTGTTCAACGCAACTGTATTTTTTTTAAATTGGGGATGTAGGTGCATATATAAAGCGCTTACCCCTCAATACTGTACAGAAAGAGCTGGAAAACATTTCCTGAAATCACCAACTGGAAGATTTTTAAGTTCATTAGTTAAGTTTACTTTGTTTCTCACTTTTTATGAAACAAAAAAAAATATATCATAGAATAAGTTCTACGAAAATATATTTACATGGACATTCATAACTTCGATTAAAAACACTTAGAATCATCTGTTGTAAGGAGCACCACATTTCATCAAAGAAAGACTCTGTCAGTGCGGAATGGATGTTTATAGGCGCCAGTGTATTTAGCTATTGCTCCACCGACAGCGAGTGCACTCGCCATCGCACATCCAACCTGCCAACTGCTCCCTAAAAGTAAAAGGAAACAATAAACACTTTTGAAGTGAAGACTGAGGCTTGAACTAAACACTCTACCAATGCAGGTACAGGTGATCAAAAATCAAAACTTTATGAAAAAAGTCTTTAAACCTTAGATCCGTGGACCATGTTGTGTCAAAATAAAGATGTCACCCTAAAATTCAAATCTGTGGAGGAAATCCCAAGGTTTTGCAATTCAGATAGAACCTTAGAAATAGAAACTTAGCATTGTGTGACAGTCTGTTTGTCATTTTTTTCTTTAAAGCGATGCACAATAAGACAATATAATAGATTTTGTTTGTATTATATCCAGAATAATCAAGGTCTCAGAAAGTGTTATCAGCTAAGGCTGAATAATTTTGTTCATAACAACAGGGGCACTACAAACAAATTAGGGGGAGTTTAAACAAACAAATCCTACAGGGAAGTTACAAATATTTTCCATAACAACAAAGAACCAGATTGTGCATAAGGAATTAAGGATTTTGCATTTCTAAAGCTAATTATAGCTGTAAGAGATTATTAACAGGTTGCATGTACTCACTTCTCAAGCCAAACAGGGCTCCACTTGCTAAGCCACCCAAGGCCCAGTTACCAGGGTCATCTTTCTCTCTCAAAGCAGCAGCAGTGCATGTTGTAAGTGCAAACAGGCCAGCCGCTCCACCTTGAAAAAAACAGAAAAGTTTAAGTAGCTTCACATCTCGTTAGAATTGGACCCTTACAAAAAATGTTTTTGTTTTGGGGCTAAGATTGTTCTTTTAACAAATCGACAACAATTTTCCATGGTGTGTACTCTTATCGACCATAAAAATAATCTCAAAAGTTCAAAACTCAAGTGGAACCACGAGCCATAGGCGAGTGGTTTCACTGCAGAGTTTTGAACATTTTAACCATTTTGAGGTGCAGTGACATATTTTGCAGTGTCTTTTCAGTCATTTGTATTAAGTCATTTGGTAAAAACTCTATCTGCAAATACTAATTAACTGTCAATAATTATAATACTGTTTCCACAAACCTAGAAGAAGTGAATGGTTCTTCATCATAATCAGTGACTGAAGAATAAGAGGTGTTGGTTTAGGATCTGGAATCTTCAAAGCTGATACTGCCGCACCAGAAAAACCACCTGCCATTCAAGATCAAGGGAAAATGTTAAGCCCTTGAGAAGACACATCACATAAAAATCATAAAACACTCTTAGGCTATGATCACACGAAACTGGACAAATTTTGAACTGGTTTAAAATTCACGCGTTTACTAGGTATTCTGTTCACATGGAAGATTTAGACGCCTGGTGGTTCAAAAATTTTCTGTGTAAACAGAGCACAGATATTGAAAATATTTCAGGCAGTCCAAAATATTACCCCATGCCTTGTGAAGGTTTTCTCAATGAAGATCTGATTACTAGTCACTTACACACCAAAAAAACACAGATTGTAGAGGATTTTAGTTTGTGAAGGGGTCAGGGTATGGCCATAGTCCTGTTAAATAGCTCAGGGCTACTAAAACAACCTATCAGCTGATACATGTATATTTATCCCAACTGCTCAAAAAGCAGGCAACTTTCATGAACAATATTGACAAGAAATTAAGTACAAGTAACAAGTAGATGTTGGACTAGAAAAGCTTCTCAGAGTTTTAGTCTAGCAAGCTGAACCAACATCTTGCCTTTCTGGCAAATTTTTGTTTTCCAATTTTCGGCCCATTCGGGTGCGTAAGCAAAGAATGTCCCATAAATTGAATGACTGCATACATGTAGCTCTGGTCCTGAGGAAGGCTAATTTTGTTAGCCGAAATATTGGCCTCCAATAAAGCAGCCTTTTGCCATACTGCCAGCCTTGCATTCAGTTTTGTTTTAATTCCCACTTCTAGTGATGCCTGGCTCCGTGACCTAGCATCTCTACATTGGAGATTCGGCAAGAAGAAGCCAGTCAGTTATAGTTAAGCCTTGAGTGGACCTCTGCATTCTTGGGTTTTTACTACATGCATACATGCATGGACATGTTTAACAAGTTACATTTGTGATATAAACAAAAACATCAAATAATTCAAATCCTTTTAATTTCCACATGTTACGCTAAACAAGCTGTACATATATAAGCTTGAGATTTAATTATTTTTTTGGAGGTTAAATAAGCGTTATCAATATATAGTAAGTTTAATTATATTGACCTTTGCAGTACCAATTGCATCTTTCATAAATTAAAGTTACCTACCTACTAGCGCCCCTTGCACGGCAAAACTTACAGTTCTCTGTATACAGTTTTCTCCATCGAGCTCATCCATCCATGGTTCGTTAAATTTTGGGGATCCATGCCCTGCCATTTTGGTAACAAAATGACTTTTTGCCCTCCAAAGCACT